AGGGTGGCCTGGTGTGTGCGTGCTGGTCACCCCCCAGCTCTCTCCATTCTGGCCTTTTCTGTCTGCCTTTTCTATCCGCTCGTGGGGCCAAGCCTCTCCACCTGCTCCTACGAAACATGCCCACTTGGTTGCTGTAGTTCACCCCGCAGACTATGAATCTTCCTCCCCTCCTGCCTTTCATGGCGGGGGTGGTGCAGGGAGGACGAAGAAGCTCTCTGCTGAGAAACATGAGTTTCTAAGAAGATGCATCTTCTGGTCGGGTCAACAAATGAGTGTTGGAGGAAGGACTCGGAGTGCCGACCGCTTCCCAAAGCCCTATTTGCAAGAGGTGAGCATTAGAGAGGCAGCAGCCTGCCACGGAGGGATGCTAACTGGGAGATTTTCACAGCGCACCTGGAGCGTGAGATTTTGAAGGCCTCACCTTCTATTCTGAGCTGCTAAATTTAGCTGTCTTTAGCTTCTAAAGCCGATGGCTTCTCAGGTTTCCCCTCCTTCAGAGTATGTGGTTTGTGCCTTTTTTTTCCCCCCTAAGAGAAAGAAGAGTAAGTAGGAAGATTAAAAAAGGGAGGAGCTGAAGAACGATAACCAGAGGAGAAGAAGAAAAGAGAAAATGTGAAACTGACAGTATTAGGGGAAGAAGGGGCCTGGCCTGAAACTTCAAAGAAGAGGAAGAGGAGACTGAACTGAGCAGAGCCCAGCGACTATCCGGGCTTCCCTCCAGCGTCCTCTTCCATCTGTCACCCCGGGGCTCAGGCTAACCGGGAGGGTAGGGGCAGTGCGACCACAGACCCCTGGCCCAGCCCAGCTGCCCACGCTTGTGAGCCCGAGCCACGGGGGCCGCCCCACCTTGGCTGACATGGGGCCTGCGTCTCCGCCAGGCCAGAGGGGGTGACGGCAGGGGAGCGGGACGGCCAGGACTTAACAGCAGGTACACGCGATGGCATCCTCTCAGGGGCACCCTCTTCTTCGCAGAAGGAGGTTGCCTTGTGGCTCGTGTGCTGCCTAAGCCCCCAGCCTTACTGCTCACTGTAGCCCTTCCGCATCCACCTGCCACTCTCTCGGCAGCCACTTTTGTGGCTTTCTCTGTCCCAGGCAAAGTCTCCCAAGTAGCGTGTGGTGTGTGTGTGCGTGTACGTGCACATACACGTGTGGCGAGGGGGCCTCGGCGCTGGTCGTCTTGTTCAGTAAAACCGACAGTGTGTCAGGCATGTTCCCAATTTATCTTCACCGCAGCCCTGGGAGTTCATGAGCATGAGTGCCATTTTGCAGCCAGGAAAACTGAGGCTCGGCTACGGAGAGTCTCTCACCTTCCCCTCCTACCTCCTGATGCCGCGGGTCTGATTCCTTAAGGCCTCTTCCTCCAGGCTGCTGCTTTGTAGGCCCTGGTGCCTCCTCCTGCAGCTGTGACGGAGCACACGCAGGGCCTGCCGAGGCCAGCGAGTGGCAGGGTGCGGGTCTGTGGCAGGCCGCTGACCGCAGGCCCTCTGCCGTGCCACTGAGAGGGGTAGCCCTCCCCCACAGAGCCTAGCCTAGGTGAGTCTTCCTGTGGTACATCCCCCTTCAGCCAGGGCTTTTCAGCCCCACCCCCCCCTCCTGCCGCCCTCCACTCCCCACTCCCATTGCACTTGGGGACACTGAGCCTCAGGGTGTGTGGGAGCTTGAGGTCCCAGAGCAACTGTGGAACTGAGACCCAAATCCAGGGCTCACATAACCTTTCCCCACCCCAAATCACGGCGGCTTGGGCTCCCTGCTTCCCACCCGCAGGACAGGAAGCTCCGTGGCCTTGGCAGGTCTGGGAACATTTCATGCACGTAAAGACAAGAGCAGACTCTGGAGGGAAAGGGATCTCTCTCCCCCCTGGCCTGCCTGGCACACCTCCCCCTGGTTCCTGTTTGTTCCTTTTCTCTTAGCAGACTACCGGTTCACCCCTAGCTCCTCCCCTCTTTTTCCTGCTGTTTAGTTATTGTGCTGATGGGTGGTTGTCGCTGGAGGAGAGGAGCCGAACCCTTCCATCGGGGAGACCCCCAGCTGCTTGTGTCCTGGGGGCTCTCCTCAAGGTTATCTTGGTGGTGCAGTGTGCTCTTGCAGGAACCTCTTTCTGGTGCTTCTGAGCCTTCATGATCGGGAAGTCCAGGAAGGGAGAGAGCTCAGGAGAGAGCCCCAGGGCTCTCCCCACCTCTGGTCTCCTGCTCACTGCCACCTTCTGTTCTGCTTGAAAGGAAAGGTTGCACATCTTAGCTTGGTGGAGCCTAGAAAGGAGGGAGGCGGGGGAGAGAGGTCTGTTTGTTTCATTTATTCCACCAACATTTCTTGAAGTGCTTCTACACATTATGCTGAATTTGACTTGACACGTTTTAAAAAATAAGGGCTTTAAAATGACCGCCTTTTGGGGGGGCACCAGCGTGGTTCCGTCGGTTGAGGCTCTAACTCCAGCTCAGGTCATGATCTCACGGTTCGTGAATTCGAGCCCCACAGCGGGCTGTCTACTGTCAGCCTGTCAGCGCAGGGTCCGCTTCGGATCCTCTGTCCCCCTCACTCTCTGCCCCTGCCCCGCTTACTCTCTCTCGAAAAAGAAAACATTAAGAATATGTGTATATACTTAGGGCTTGTTTGATTTGTTGTGGATGTGTTCCAAGTAAAATTTCTTAAGTAGTTCAAAACACTTGCAGGGACACCTGGCTGTCCCAGTCAGTAGAGCGTATGGCTCTTGATCTTGGGGTGGTGAGTTCAAGTCTCACGCTGGGTGTAGAGATTATTTAAAAATAAAATCTTTAGGGATGCCTGGATAGCTCAGTCGGTTAAGCATCTGACTCTTGCTTTTGGCTCAAGCCATGATCTCACAGTTCATGAGTTGGAGCCCTGTGACAGGCTGCGTGCTGACAATCCAGAGCCTGCTTGGGACTCTCGCTCCCTCTCTCTCTGCCCCTCCCCCACTCTTGCTCTCTCTCAAAAATAAATCAACATTAGAAAAATATTCCTAAAAACCCAAAAACTTTTACAATGAGAAATACGGGAGGAAAAAAATCAGTAAGAGCTGCCGTGGATTTAGAAAAAGGTAAAGTCTGGGGCGCCTGGGTGGCTCAGTTAGTTAAGCATCCGACTTCGGTTCAGGTCATGATCTCATGATCTGTGGGTTGGAGCCCCCACGTCAAGCTCTGTGCTGACAACTCAGACCCTAGAGCCTGCTTCGGATTCTGTGTCTCCCTCTCTCTGCCCTTCCCCAGCTCACACTCTGTCTCTCTCTCCCTCTCTCAAAAATAAACATTTAAAAACATTAAAAAGGAAAAAAAAAAGTCTTTGGATGATCATTTTAAAGTAACCAAAATCTTATCATCTAGGCTGCGTTAAGAATGAGTGCAAAAACATGCTTTTAAAAATTTTGGTCCCAATATACTTCGTCTTAGATATTATTTTACAGGCTTGTCATTAGTTCTGGAAGAGGAGGGGTGTCTTAGTATGAGAAGACCAGGCTGTGGTTTGGATGCCTAGGACAAAGCTGCAATAGACAGACTGTCTGTTACAGCCCCATGAGATAGGTCATTCAATCATTCTGAAAGCCCAGGGAGGGTCGTTCTAATGCTAGGCCCAGCGAAGGGCTTGGACGTGTTTAAGATGTGATTCCTGCCTTCCTCGGGGAAGTAAGACCGAAGACCTGTTTGCACATAACCACTGTGCGAGAGGAACAAATGTTGGGAGGTGCTGGAAGTAGTCTCTGACCCTCATGTCCCGGGCTGCACATGGCTGAGCTGGCCCCCAGAAATCGGGACCTGTTGATGTGCTTTTGCTAGGTTTCTGTCCTCACAAACCCCAAGTCATCGGCCACCATTAATGTTTGTAAGGTTCCCCCAAGCCCAGGGTGTGGGGACTCCTACTCTTGGTTTTGGCTGCACGCCCTGGCATTGGGCCCCACAGATACGGCTGGGACCTTCTTATCTCTTCGCACCTTCTTGGGACCACCCTACCACGTGTGGACCCTGAGTATTTAAAACCCGAGTCCTTCGCCTGGCTCACGTAGGTGCAGGAACCGTGTCTTTGGTGATTGTGCCTTGGAAGCCTCCCTGAGAGACTGAGCTGGGCCCTCAACTCTGCTGGCCCTCCTGTACCCCTGCTCAGAGCTTGCTCGCCTCAATTGTGGCCCTCTGGCCCCCTCTGCTGGCCACTCACAGGATTTCCTGCTGGAACTGTCCAGATGAAGTCCAAGGAAGAAAGCACTGCTGTGAGTTTGCCATCTGTGTTTGATCCCCGGTGTCTATGCCTGGGCCATGCTGGGGGGAGGCGGGGGGGGGGGGGGGGGGGGGGGGGGCATAGAGGAGAGCGGGGAATAGGGAGCAGAAGTCGGTGGAGAAGGAGCTGTAGTGGTGTCTGAGCAGAGAGTGGATTTCTGGAAGAATATCTCAGAGCTGCGGGGGTCCCCCAGGTGATGCTGGCTGAATTCTGATCCCTCCAGGGAGTTCTTGGCTACGGAGCACGGCTTGGGAGTGATGGAGGCTTTAGCGGGGCAGAAGGGAGAGAGGTAGGGTACTCCAGGCTGAGCTGGCTGTGTTAGGATCCAACAAGAAGTCCCCTCCAGGCTCCAGAGACTTCCTTTTCATCCTGGCCAGGAGCCCTGCTTCCTTTAGGAGGTGAAGAAGGGAGCCAGTGGACTGTGCCTCTGTTTGTCAGGGGGGCTTCTGACGGTGGGAGGCATTTCTGGGCTTGCACTAGGTGGATGAGTGATGCAGGTACACATGTCTCCATGTGCTGCACCCCCCACGGGGGCTGGAGGTGCTGCCTGTCACACCTGGGTGTCCTCATGCACACTGAACTCATGGTGGCGACAGCTGAGCTTGGGGATGGGCAGTGTGGTGGTGGCGGGGGCACCTCTTTAGGGCTGGGTCTCCCCGCTCAGTGATCCTGCCTGTCTCCTCCCAGATGGGAAGGAGCAGCCTGTGAGCCCCAGGGCAGGGGAAATCTCCCAGAGCAATCCGTCCCTAATCCCCAGGCTGGGCCTCAGGCTGGAGATGGCAGCTGCAGAGCCTGGGAGCTTGGGCACACCTGCTCGCAGACCCCGGCTTCCCTTGGCAAGCCCCGTGCTGCCCAGGGACTGCGACCCCGGGGGCCTGGCCCAGCCCCTGGAAAGCTGGAGCCTCAAAGCCTCTGGCGCCCCGTCACCGGCACGGCTTCGGGAAACGGGACCCGCACAGGTGAGGCCCCTGATGGGTGGAAGGGGAGAAGGTTACTGGGCGGGGATGGGAGAAAGCCATTTGTGCTGCTTGCCAGGTGGCCTGTGCTCACCCTCTGGTCTCTCAAGGTGTAGCCCCCTCTCCATTACAGAGAACTCTTTGTGGGAGGGTGGAGGGGGCGAACACCAGGCCTTCAGGTCTAGGCTGAGGAGTATCCGGAGGGCCCCTGGGGTGGGGGTGGGGGCGGGGGCAGGAGTCTTATGCAGAAGCACAGGTGAACCCTGGCTCAGAAGCCTCTAGAAACCAGTAGGCCATACGTCACTCTTCTTGGGGCCAGAGGAGCTGGTGTGCAATTGAGTGGAAGGGGTGTGCCTGGATGTGGTCGCTTCTGTCTACAGAAAGACTTGGACAGGGAGAGCGGGGTGTGAGGGTCCCGTGAGCACTGACCCCAGGTGGACGGTGGGGAGTCCAGAAGGAACCAAGTGCTTGGGCGCCTGGAGCTTTTGGAGAATTTGCAGGGTGGAGAACGGAGGAGGCCCCAAGGCAGGAGCCTGTGGCGGGGAGGAGGCAGAGTGTGCAGGACATTCGTGTGGAAAAGGGCATCGTTCTGAGCAGGGCAGGGAATGTGGTAGCTGAGCAGAAGGTGGAGACTGGGCCAGAACCTATGGGTGGGCCTGTCAGCAGGGACGGGAAGCTGAGGGCTGGGGGAGAGAGAGGAGAGGGTAGCCCTGAGGCCCGAGTCTGGGAAGGGGTGGGTGCCTGCTGGCTGCAGGCAGAGGCTGACGGAAGCCTCCACCCGGTGCCCAGCTGCCTGGAGATCGCAGGTGCTTTCTGAAAGGACGAGCGAGTGCATTCCTCGGGTGTCTGTGCCCTGCACTCTGAAATCCCAGGTGGCAGCATGGGATTCTCTGTAAAGCCGCTGAGGGCCTATGCCTTGCCACAGGGGACGGGGTGCTGCAGGGAGGAGCCAGGGCCCTCGGGCTCCTGCCTCTCGAATCCCCCTTGTAGGGCTGGGGCCTTGCTGCAGGAGTTTTTCACCCCGCTGGACCCCCCGTGAACAGACCCGGGTATACATACTGCCCCACGTGTGCTCCATTAAGTGCCTAAGCATTTGCCTCCCTGCCCTCCGGAGAAAAGCCGCTTAGGCTCCCTGGCACCGGAGGAACCGCTGGGTGGGCTGGTGCCTTCCCCTTCTCCCCTCCCCTGCGCCTTTCCCACGTGGGGGTCGGGGGGCATGGGTCAGCTGTGATGGGGTGTCCAGAGCTGGGACCGAACAAGAAACCGCAAATTGCCCCCACCTCCTCACCAGGAAGAGAAAGAGCCAGCAGCCCGGCAGGCTGTGCCTGCTGATCTAGAAGAATGGGGGCAGCCCCTGCCTCCAGGACCGGGGCTTCGCGTCATTTTTCCGGCTCTGGCTGGAATATCTAGTTGGTGTGGGAGACTTCAGGTCCCTTCCTCCCAGCTTCCCCGCAAGGTCAAACGGCCTCTTTAGGCAGAAGGATTTTAGCTGGCCATGAATGTTCCTTTCCATCCTAGCCCTGGCCTTTCCCTCTGGGGATGATTAGAAAAAGTGAATCTGAGTGTTCTCTATCCTAAGAGGGGTGCTCAAATCAGTGTCACGGGGCCAGAAGTCAGCAGATAGAAGCACCTCTGCTGAGTCACGCGGGCTCAACAGCCTCCATCACACTTGGCCTTCTGGGCTTTTAGCCGCTGGAAGCCCAGGCCCTGCTCAAGAGCAACATCCCATGTGGATCTCAACCTGCTTGGCCAGACCCCAGACCCTCTTGTTCCCCGCCCTGGGAGGGAGCCTGAAGGCCACCTGTCCCAGGATGACAGGGACTGCCCTGCTCTCCCAAAGGGAAGCAAAGAAGCTCCAAAACTCTTTGTTTCCTCCCCTCCCCTCTCCTTGTGTGTGTGTGTGTGTGTGTATCTGTCTGTCTAAGAGTGACCTTCGTGTTGGCTTTCCTGAGCAGAGACCTAGGACAGGAAGTCCTCATCTTCTGTGTCAGCCTGCCCTGGGGACCCTAACAGGAGTACTTTGTAAGTTCAGGAAGGGGCTGCTTGTCCCCTGGGAAGGGGCGTCAGGCTGGGAGCCCTCTGCAGTCTTGTGGGAACCTGGGAGCACAGGTGGAATTTATTCCATTGCCGAGAAATAGCACCACGCTCCACATTTCACAGCAGCTAATACCTTCTCCTCCCTGCACAGAGCTTCACGAAAGCCTGGATGCTTTCTGTCCCTACAGAGTATACTGTGTGCTCCCGGCCTCTGGGATCTGGGCGGCTGGGCTGGTGTGCAAGACGGGGAGCCATTGCCCCCATGGCAGGGCCCCGGGTTAACAGAGGACATGAGCTCAGGCCTGGGAGGAGGTGGGAGCCCTGGGAGGCCCCCAGGAGCCAGGGCTCCTGTAATCTGGCAGCATGCCTAATCCGGCTTCATGCGGAATTGCCGGATGGGGACAGGGAAGGGAGTCCACGGCTCTGCGAGCCCACGTGGAGGGGGTGCTTCTGGGTGCAGGAAGCAGGGAGGGGAAGTGGGAAGGTTGGACCCTGGACACTTAAGACAACGTCCCATCTCTGGCTCTTCCAGAACATTCACCAGGACTTCTTGGACCTCAGTCACTGTTTAGAACAAGGTCTGTGACCTCAGCCCCGGCTGGTAGGTACCATGAGCGGAGAGCGTGACATGGCCTCCCTGGTTGCCCGGCATGGAAGGGCATCATGGAAGGAAGCATGGCCCTCCCTCCACCATTCTCCTTGTAAGAACTTGCCTGGCCCACGCACGGGGATCAATCTTGGGGTCAGGTACCTAGGAGAGTGAAGTGGGAAGGCCATGATGCTGGGGCCGCAGCTCCAGGTGTGGTGCTGGCTGCTGGGCACGGACAGAGGGCTGAGTGGCCTGGGCCAAGTGAAACTCTGTGACAATTTGGAGAGAGGAGCAGTGGTGCCTCTGTTGCCCACTCGCTGCCGTGCTCCAGCTGGGAGACCCAGGGAGTTTTCACCCACCACTGACCGGGGGTTGAGTGATCTGTACCCGGCCTCAGGACACGGGATTGGGAGTGAGTTAGAAAGAGCTCTGGCTCTGTTGAAAATGAGACAGTGATTTGAAGGACCAGGAGACCCTCCCACAGACCAACCCTGTAATAGGACATTGGTTGGAGCGGTGGCCGGAACCAGCAGGCGGGAGGACCCCTGGCCTTCTGCATCCAGCTTTTTGTAGTCACCACTCTGTCTGGCTCCAGAAGATTGCCATCACCCCCAAAAGAAACCCAGACCCATTAAGCAGCCACTCCCCACTCCCCACTCCTCCCCTGCCCCCCAGCCCCTGGCCACCACTAATCTGCCTTGTGTCTCTATGGCTTTAACCTTTCTGGACGTTTCATATAAAAGGAATCCTTCAGCACGTGACCTTTTGCATCTGGCTTCTTTTGCTTTGCGTGATGTTCTCAAAGTTCATCCACGTTGTTGTGTGTATCGGTGGGACTTCATTCCTTTTATGGCCCAATGATGTTCCACTGTATGGATGTACCAACTTCGTTTACCCATTCTTTGGTTGATGGACAAATGAGTTGTGTCCACCCTTTGGCTATTGTGAAAAGTGCTGTTATGAATACATGTGTACACGTACTTGTTTGAACACCCATTCAAAAATTTTTTTTCTTTAAATGTTTGTTTTTGAGAGGGAGACAGAGCGTGAGTGGGGGAGGGGCAGAGAGAGAGGGAGACACAGAATCCGAAGCAGGCTCCAGGCTCTGAGATGTCAGCACAGAGCCCGATGCAGGGCCGAAACCCATGAACCGTGAGATACGACTTGAGCCGAAGTCGGACGCTTAACCGACTGAGCCACCCAGGCACCCCCTGTTATTTTCCTTTTAAAAATTATAGCCACACTAGTGAATATGAAGTATCACTTAATTTTGCTTTTGAGCACCTGCTGTATGCCCTGAGATTGTACCGATTGTTGCCTTCACTTAGTGTTTCATTTCATTCTCCTGACAACCCTTTGGGGGTAGGTCGAATCCCCTCCCGTTTCCGGGTGAGAAAATAGAGTAAAGTTAATGACATACCCAAGGGCACGTGGCCAGTGAGGGACAGAGCTAGGGTTCTAAATTGGTGTCTGACTCCAAATTTGGTGCTCTTTCCATTGCCTTGCATGGGCTCTCTGTCCTGTCTCCGTGCTGTTCTTTTTATTTTTAATAGAAGTATAATTAACACACAGTGTTATGTTAGTTTCAGGGTGTATGGGGTAATGATTCAACAATTCTATGCATGATACAGTGCTCATCATAAGTGTACTCTTTTTTTAAAGTTTATTTGTTTATTTTTAGAGAGGGAGAGAAAATGTATGCGAGGAGGGGAGGGGCAGAGGGAGAGAGAGAATCCCAAGCAGGCTCCGCGCTGTCAGCACATGGGGCTCGATCCCATGAACTGCGAGATCATGACCTGAGCCGAAATCCAGAGTTGGGCTCTTACCTGACCGAGCCACCCAGGTGCCCCACGATAAGTGTCCCCTTAATCCCCTTCACCTGTTCCACCCATCCCCCACCTCCCCTCTGACAACCACCAGTTTGTTCTTTGTATTTAGGAATCTGTGTTCTTTGTCTCTTTTTTGCTTTGTTTTGTTTCTTAAATTTCACGTATGAGTGAAATCATGCGGTGTTTATCTTTCTCTGACTTGTTTCACTTGGCTTTATACTCTCTAGTTCCATCCCCGTAGTTGCAAATGGCAAGATTTCACTCTTTTTTATGGCTGAGTACTATTCCCCTACGCATGTACTCTGCCTCTTCTGTATCCATTCATCTATGGACGGACATTGAGCCAGCTTCCACGTCTTGGCTATCGTAAATAATGCCACAGGCTCATTGCTTTTCCTTGTGGTTTTTTTTGTTTGTTATTTTGTGTGTGTGCTTTTTTTTTTTCCAGCTCTCTTTCCCCTCTTCTGCTTTTTCCATCCTTCATAGTTTTGTCATCTTATGCTTGAATTCTCCTTCCTTTGTTAAAGTATTCTCCTTCTTGGTGCCTCTGCCTGCTGCCTGCCACCTCCTTGGCATTCTTTCCTTTAGCCACTCTGTCGTGGTTCAGTCCTGAGGGGCCACTGGTGCTATGGGGAGAGGTGGGGTGTCCTGGGGTGGGAGGCATGAAGAACCCCCCGCCTTCCTCCGTGGGGAAGGAGGACAGGGTGGGGGTGTTCTGTGACTGGAGGTGCCCAGCGGGGTCCAGGTGTGACAGATGCCAGTGGAGGGGCAGCAAGGAGCTGGTGTCCTGCTGAGGGACCCCCGGGCTCGAGTCTGGGCCCCAGGGCAGGAAAGAGGGGCAGGTGAGGGGGCCAGGAGCCCAGCCCCAGGCCACTCCAGCCCACCGTTAGGCCCCAGCTTGTTTTCCCAGGAATGTCTGTTCTCTCGTTCCCGGGGATTTCGCAGCCAGCTTCCACTCGGCTTTTCCATCTGTAAGCTAGACAGACTCTAAATCAAGAGAGGAGAGACACTAAGCTGCCGGAGTAAAGCCAAGGTAGGGGGAGAGTTGCTATTTTATAGTCCCTCGGAGTCCCAAAGCACTTCTACTTTTCACGGCATCCCTGTCTCATTAGCTGCTTGCATACCCCTCCTAGTCCTTGTGGCAGGTTCTCTGCTCATTATAGAGACAGCCGAGCACCGCCGAGGGCCGAGCATCAAGCCATGTTTCAGACCCAAAACTCATCTTCCGGATGTTTTTTCTCCCCCAAAGAGGGAGAAAGAGAATTGAGCCTCTTTGGAAGCACAGCAGCCTTAGAAGAGGACCAGATTGCTTAATCTTAAAAATCGTGTTCCTAGAGAATTTAATTTTTTTGTAGTTCAATATTTATGCTATAGTATCAATATTGAGTGCACTGGTAGGGATAATCTCTTTTTTTTTTTATGAATGAATTTTCAATCTTGGACCCTAGGTCTACACTGTTTGTTTTGTTTTGTTTTAATGTTTATTTACTTTTGAGAGAGAGAGAGACCGAGAGACAGAGCGTGAGCTGGGGATGGTCAGAGAAAGAGGGAGACACAAAATCCGAAGCAGACTCCGGGCTCCGAGCTGTCGGCACAGACCCGACGTGGGGCTCGAACTCCCAAACTGTGAGATCATGACCCAAGCAAAGCTGGAGGCTTAACTGTCTGCACCACCCAGGTGCCCCTGGTTGGTGTAATTTCTTAATGAAACTGCATTCCCCTGCCCCCCTGAATTGTGCTGCCTGGATCCAGACAGCATTTATGAGTGCCTTCTGTATGCCCCACACTGGGCTAAGTGCTTGCTAGGCATCATCTTGTGCAACCCTCACAGAGACCTGAGAGTAGATAGCATTATCCCCTTCTCAGGTGGGGATACTGAGGGTCAGGGAGAGACAGGTTTCATCACTGCAGGACATAGCACAGGAGGAAGGGGTTTAACTGCAGGACGGGGTTTTAAGTCACACTGGCGTGACAGACCTTGGGACAGATCATTTAAGGGAGGCTGTGGAATTGGCTCTTCTGGTATGCAAGTTCAGAAATTCAGAGGCAGGGTTCTGAAGACATGTGCCCCTGGAGGGAGGGCCAGGGGACACAAAGGGAGACCCAAAGCCAATGTAAGGGGCAAGTCCTGACTTTAGGAGAGATTGGAGAAGGGATCGGCATTGTCCCCAGCATCCCCAGCAGAACTGTGACCTGGAAAGGCCCCAGAGGAAACCCACAGAGGAGCCACCCGCCCCCGTCCCCTCCCCGGCTCCTGATTTTGGCAGGACTGTTGTTTTCACTAGTGTTTTCCAATAACTTTGCACCTCGGCAGAAACCGGGTCCAGTGACTTCTGCCTGTAATTGGCACAGGCTGCTTCCAGTTCTGGTGTGGGTAAGCGGGCCACTTGCTTTGCGCTTACAACCCCTTCCCCCACCTGTACCTCATCCCGCCCCACACACATGAAGAGCGAAGGATCTGACCCGGCCGTCCTGGGGTGTGCTGTGTGTAAAAATACATGGGGTTGAGCCATTTCCTGCTGCTTCCGTTCTTGCATGGCGATAAGACACAGGGGACTCAGCTGTGGACAGAGAGGTCCTCCAGCAGCTGGGGTGGGTAGAGGAGGGGGGCCGACCCTGGGAGAGCAGGACTCCAGGCCCGCCTGCTTTCTTCTGACCCCGCGGTTTCTCATCTTTCCTATCTCCTGGGACCTTCCCTTCCTTTCACCCCGACCCCCCAACCTTTCTCGGCTTCTCTTCTCCTTTGTGCCACCCTCATGCGCTTGGGAAGCCTGCCTGCTGCTTGGAAAGGGACCGTCTGCTCCGTCCTGCACATTTGCCCCCTCCTGAGCTAGGCCCTGGTACCTTCAGGCCCCCAGACTGGTCTCTGCTGCCCTTGGCCCCCAGGGTTTGCTCCTGGGACTTGAGTCCTCAGGACCTGGCCAGCACGGTGGGTGGGGCTGTGCTCCTCTCCCGAGTCTGGGAGAGCGTCTGGGAGAGCGGGCAGGGCCGGGTGCTCCCGCCGTCATGAAGCGGAAGAGGTTGCTGACGACTCAGGAGAGCTGGAAGGTGATGGAGGGGCTGGAAGGGGTATCCACAGAGGCAGGGGACCTGCTGAACTGCCTCAGGAAAGCCGGGGTGGGACGGGTGGGGAGGCTTCCTGTGCCTGCGTAGGGCCAAAGTGTAGGCTTTGGCCAGCTCTGGGAGAGAGGCCTGTTTGAGGCAGGAGCCTTTGGGGGAGGTGGAGTCCAGAGGGACAGCTTGTCTTGTCTCTGAGAAGTCAGTCTGGTGACTCTCCTCAGGCATACTTGGTCCGTGTGATGGAGCAAGAAGAGCTCTGGGCTGGAAGTTCTGTGTTTTCGTGGCTGTGTGTCCCTGAGCAACTTGCTTGAACTCTCTGGGCCAAAGGAGGGGCAGATCTGCCTAGACTGCATTTTAGGGATGTTATGAGGATTAAGTGGATCGCAGCTGGGACAGCCCTTCAAAACTGGCCATGGGTAGGGGCACTTGGCTGGCTCGGTCAGTGGAGGGTGTAACTCTTGATCTTGGAGCTGGGAGTTAGAGGCCCACGTTGGGTATAGACATTACTTAGAAAAAAAACTTTTTTTTTTTAATTTTTTTTCTACGTTTATTTATTTTTGAGAGACAGAGACAGAGCACGAGCAGGGGAGGGGCAGAGAGAGAGGGAGACACAGAACCCAAAACAGGCTCCAGGCTCCGAGCTGTCGGCACAGAGCCCGACGTGGGGCTCGAACTCACGAACCGTGAGATCATGACCCGAGCTGAAGTCGGACGCTTAAGAGACTGAGCCACCCAGGTGCCCCAGAAGTAAAATCTTTTAACACAAAATGGCCACCGTAAAGGAATACTGCTACGGTTGTGGTTATTGGGGGCTCTTGCCCTGAAGCTTCCTATTCCTCCTGCATCCATCTCCCAGGCAGAGAAACCAAGGCCAGAGGTGTCCACGGACATAGGAGGGTATCCTCCCACAGTGTCACGATTTACCGATGCTTGCTTTTCTTGGCTCCTTCCCCAGGTTGACAAGGGAGACCTTGTGGCCCTGAGCCTCCCCAGCGGCCCCGGCCACGGTGATGCCGACGGTCCCGTCAGCCTGGACGTGCCGGACGGGGCCCCCGACCCCCAGCGGACCAAGGCTGCCATCGACCACCTGCACCAGAAGATCCTGAAGATCACCGAGCAGATCAAGATCGAGCAGGAGGCGCGGGACGACAACGTGGCCGAGTACCTGAAGCTGGCCAACAATGCGGACAAGCAGCAGGTGTCGCGCATCAAGCAGGTGTTCGAGAAGAAGAACCAGAAGTCGGCCCAGACCATCGCCCAGCTGCACAAGAAGCTGGAGCACTACCGCCGGCGCCTGAAGGAGATAGAGCAGAACGGGCCCTCGCGGCAGCCCAAGGACGTGCTGCGGGACATGCAGCAGGGCCTGAAGGACGTGGGCGCCAACGTGCGCGCGGGCATCAGTGGCTTTGGGGGCGGCGTGGTCGAGGGCGTCAAGGGCAGCCTCTCGGGCCTCTCGCAGGCCACCCACACCGCGGTGGTGTCCAAGCCCCGGGAGTTCGCCAGCCTCATCCGCAACAAGTTTGGCAGCGCCGACAACATCGCCCACCTGAAGGACCCTCTGGAGGACGGGCCCCCCGAGGAGGCGGCCCGGGCGCTGAGCGGCAGCGCCACCCTCGTGTCCAGCCCCAAGTACGGCAGCGATGACGAGTGCTCCAGTGCCAGCGCCAGCTCGGCCGGGGCGGGCAGCAACTCCGGGGCTGGGCCGGCGGGGGCGCTAGGGAGCCCCAAGTCGAACACGCTGTACGGGGCCCCCGGAAGCCTGGACGCTCTGCTGGAGGAGCTGCGGGAGATTAAGGAGGGACAGTCCCACCTGGAGGACTCGATGGAGGACCTGAAGGCTCAGTTGCAGAGGGACTACACCTACATGACCCAGTGTCTGCAGGAGGAGCGCTACAGGTAGGCGCCACCCCTCCCGCACCGCCGCCGCCCGGCCGGGCCTCTGCCGGAGCGGCGGGGCGCCGGCTTTCACACTCCGGCTCGCGGAGGCAGGTGGAGGTGCACATAGAAGGGTCCGAGGCTGCCGGAAGGAGCCAGAAGAGGCCCCGGGAGGCCTTCCTCCAGACTGGTCAGAGCGGCTGGGAGATAGGGTTAGGGGGCCTGACCTGCCGATGGAGAGAAGGCTCTGCCTGTCTCAGGAGCTCTGAACATCCCTGCTTGATGGTTATGTGGTCCGTGTACAGAAGGGGGAAACTGAGGCAGGGACATGGCCAGCTACATGGCCTCTCCTCTGGAAGGACTAACGGCACTGACTGTCGAGCCAGGTTCCCTGGGTTCAAAGCCCAGCTCTGCTCTTTCCTGTTTACCTTGAACAAAGTACTTAGTGCCCCCCACAGCTGCTCTCCGGGTCTGTGCCGCGGCAATAACACAGATCCCTACTCCTAGGGTTCGTGAAGGTTCGACGAGTCCAAACCTCTAAAGTCAAACTATGTAAACCTCTGGCACCATCAGGTTAAACATTTGGCAGAAGCTGGAGTCTCCGGCCCCTCCCCGCCCCACCTGCTCCACGCCCTCTTGCTCAGTGCCCCTCCTGTGTCATTTGGTTGTCACTTGCTCCCTGGGATTCTCAGCGAGCTTTTCCTTAATTAGCTCTTTTCCTTTTTCTTCATATATATGAAGAAGGGTTAGAAAATTGAGGGGGGGGGGTCCCTGCCTGAAAACTACCCCCACATGAGAGTCACCTTTTGATACTTTGTGCCTGCAGAGCAGGGATTGTGTTTCTGTGTCGCTGTGTCCCTGGTGACCAGGAGAGCATCTCAGTCCAGGGCTTACAGGCTCGCGCCGAAGGCGTTTAATCCGAGTCCTCCGTTCATGAGCTGTGGGACCTTAGGCAGGTTCCTTAACCTCTCTCTGTCCCAGGCTTCTCATCTGTGAAAGAGGATGATGCTAGTGCTTGTCTCGTGGGGTTGAGGGGGGTGAGGATCCTGGGAGATAACGTGGGTAAAGCCTGGGCACAATGCCTACTTGGAAGCAGCACCGTATAAAGAGTAGCTTTCGTTGTCGTTGTTGTTAAAATTGGAAGGGGACTGAACGCATTGCATGTTTTGAGGAACAAAATTGATCCTGGGGAGAGAAGGGAGGTCAGGGGGCCAGGACTGAAGTCACCCCTTCTCCCTCTGCCAGGTATGAGCGGCTGGAAGAACAGCTCAATGACCTGACCGAGCTTCACCAGAATGAAATGACCAACCTGAAGCAGGAACTGGCCAGCATGGAGGAGAAGGTGGCCTACCAGTCCTACGAAAGGGCTCGGGACATCCAGGTACGACCAGAGACTGGCCCCGGGGGGGCCCCAGACGTGCTGAGAGAGCTGTCGGCGGCCGGAGGGTGAGGCCTTTACCAAGTGGGGGGTGATGGGCACAGGCGGGTCCACTGGCGGCGCAGATGGGCGCGTGGCTGAAGAGGGCAGTATGGGGCGGAGATAGGAGCCGGGCAGGCCAGAGGCTGGATTTCTGCGAGCCGACGGGCGAGGGCCGCCCATGCCCCCAGCTCTGTGATGGCAGCCTTGCCAGTGAATAATCGGGATCTGCGGGCTCCAGGCTGCCTGGAGAGGAAGCTCCAGGGGATTGGGCCAGCTGTGTGTCCCCTCTCCACTCCCCACACACACACGAATCAACCACATCCGTCTCCTACCATCCTCCCTAAAACGTCGTAAAGCACTGGCCTTTGCAGGGGGCGCCCTGTGCACGGGCACCTTCTCTGCCCTCAGAGTAGGTAGGGTTCCTACCTCTGAGGGCACCTTCTCTGCCCTCAGAGCAGGTAGGGTTCAGCCCACCCTGAGCTCCCACGCGCCCCTCCCCCCCGCAGGAGGCCGTGGAGTCCTGCCTGACCCGCGTCACCAAGCTGGAGTTGCAGCAGCAGCAGCAGCAGGTCGTGCAGCTGGAGGGCGTGGAGAACGCCAACGCGCGGGCTCTGCTGGGCAAGTTCATCAACGTGATCCTGGCGCTCATGGCCGTGCTGCTGGTGTTCGTGTCCACCATCGCCAGCTTCATCACGCCCCTCATGAAGACACGCCTGCGCATCACCAGCACCGCCCTCCTGGTCCTCGTCCTCTTCCTCCTCTGGAAGCACTGGGATTCCCTCACCTACCTCCTGGAGCACGTGCTGCTGCCCAGCTGAGCGGCCAGCCCACCCCTGCCCCGTGCTCCCCCCGGCCCCAAGATGGCCACGCTTCTCCAGGAGGGACCCGGGGACTCCCGAGTCCCTTGAACTTGTTCGTGTGTCTGGTTTGGCCTCTTGCCCAAACTGTCCATTCCAGCAGCTCCTGCCCCCTTCTCCGTTCTTGCTTCTGTCTGACGCCTTCTCCCTGTTGGCCTGAAGGGAGCCTCGAGCGCAGCCCTGGCCGGGCACAGTGAAGACATCCGTGGCCAAATGGAGCAGAGGAGGACACCGGGATGGACCGTTCTGATTATTTACAGTCACACAAGGACTTCTCCCAGCGACTCAGGATGCAGCAAGTCAGGAGGGTCAAGAAGAGGAGCAGGAGAGGGCCACGCCCCATCCTTCCAGGGAAGAGCCCAACCTGGAGACATCCACAGTTCCCTCCTGTGGAGATGGTCGGGGTGAAGGCCAGACGGCAAGCGGGGGGTGGGGCTCTGCTGGCCTCAGAGAATGCCAGGGAGAGAGGGCAGGTCCCCCCAGCCTCTGGGCACCTGCCGGGCCAGAGGGCAGGCTCGGTCCACCCCTGGTTCCTCCAGAGCTGGTTTGAGGCTCACTTCCGGGCTGGGCCCTTCCCGGGATATGAAGGACGCAGGCTCTGGAGGCCAGGTGGAGTACAGCTTTTGGACTTGTGTTTTCCCTGTTGTTCTTTCTGCCTGTCACTGGATCTGCTCTTTTCAGGGAAACAGGCCCCAGGGGCCCCCCGAGCCTCAGCCTAAGCCCTTAGGCCTCTGGGAGCATGTTGGGTTCTATTTATTTATTTATTTATTTGTTCCTTTGTAACTTGTCCCCCCTGAGCTCCAGGGAGAGGGAGAGGCCCTGCCCCTGTCCTCTCTCAGAAGCCAGGGCCTTCTTCTTGGCTGTTGGGCACTTCCATACCATTTCCCCTCTGGATAATCCTGGCTAGGGGAAGGGGGGCGAAGCCACCCAGCCCCACTCTCCCAAAGCACCCCTCAGCCAGGACGGGAGGAGCATAGCCTCTCTTTTATACATCTGTTTATTTTGTATGTGTGTATTTGTGTGGAGGAGGTTGTTTGTTGCTTTATTTTTTTAAGGCTCTGGAGTGTTATGTATGGTTTCTCTTCACATCCCAGCCTTCCCACGGGCACTTCCAAGAAGAGAGGGCATTTCTCGAAAAACAAAAGAGAAATCCCTTAGAGCGGAGGACGGTAGTGCCTGTCAGCTGTGGTGGACCTTCCTGAAAAATAAATATCCTCTAAATTTTCAAAGCATCCTGTCTAGTGTTAGTTGATGAGGCCATCCCCGTGGAAACCACCGGGTCTCTCCCCACACCCAGGCATTCTGGGTAACACTCTGGGCCTCCCCTGTTGGCCTGAGCCCTTCTTCCTTCAGGATCCATCCCTGAACAAGCCATCGTGCACCCTTCCCGTCCTACTTTGCGCAGCCAAAGCTCTGGCCTCTGTGATAGGGAAGTGAGGTGACACCACCCCCTCTGGCTGCCCAGAGCACTTTCTAGGGGGAGGGGATTGGGAGATTGCTTTCTAGGGCTTGAAGAAGACAAACAGCCCCAAACCCAGACAGCAGCAGCCAGACCTGGTGTGGCCACGAGAGGGCAGCAGAGTCCTTACTCACCCTTTTCTCGGGGTTCAGTCCCAAAGAGAGGCATCTGCTGGACTTACGGGGCCTGATCATGCTGTGCAGCCAGAGCACAGATCACCTGCTCACCAGAAGCTTTGAGCGTGGAGGCCAGGCCCTCAGACTCTGCCCCTGTGGCTGCAGCTCCCAACCCTGGCAGTTAAGGGCACTCACAGAAGGCACTGGATTCCCAGCAGGGACCCTGTAAGACCT